GTAATAAGAAGTATTACAGAGTCGACTTTACTAATGGAGAAATGGATTTAAAGGAAGTCATTAAATTGTCCAAAGTCGTATAGTTAATAAAAGGTTGAATGCTGATCTGCCTGAGCTTAAAAATCATAGGATTCATATTCATTGGTGAAAATCTTTAAAAGTCGGTGAACAGAATATCTGTGATTTGATCTGGTGCTGCAATATGTGGCATTGACATCAAAAGCAGGAGCCCTAAACTGGTGCATCACAAGTCATAGTTCATTCATTACAATTTCCATATTTCGAGGAAAGACTGAAAAATTACACTGTATCACATATGGATGTCAAGTTATTTTAAAGGTGTGTGCAGGTATCAAGCTTATTTAGAACGAATTCTTTGACATAGCATATGCACAATCATTGATTAAATTAACATGGACGTTATGAAAAGTCAGTGAACAAAGTCTTTTTTCTTTCATATGTACAAATTTTACAAGGTCTGTATCCATCTCTTTTTTTTTCCCGGTTCTCGCAAAAGGTCAAGCTTTCATTTCCTCTTCCTGTTCCTGATGTTTCATTTCCTGTTGCTGGGGTGTGAAGAATTCCTCCTGCTGCCTGGCTGTCCATCCCCAGAGGGCGCTGTTTCCAAGGCTTCCCTATAGGTGGCGGCTCTTAAGAGGGACCCAGAGTATGGGGTGAGTGGGAAACCCTGGAGTTATGTGGCCCCCAAATTTGCACATTTCCTCCCTTATCATTTTATTAAGAGCCACCTCCTTTACTTCTCCCACCTCCCCTTAATCACCAATCTCTCCCTTGAGCTACTCCATACGCAAGCATTTTATCACCTCCTTGCTACACCCTTTTCTTGAATCACCTCACCTATTATGATTTAAAATACGATTTCAGGGCCCAGTGCAGAGACTCAATTGGCTAATCCTGCCTCTTCATGCGTTGGGATCCCATGTGGGTGCCAGTTTGTAACTCAGATGCTCCATTTTTCATCCAGTTCCCTGCCTATGGCCTGGGAAAGCAGCAGAGGACCGCCTGAGTCCTTAGGACCCCACACCCAGGTAGGAGACCTAGAAGAAGCTCCTGGCTCCTGGTTTTGGATCAGCTCAGCTCTGGCCATTGCAGCCGTTAGGGAGTGAAGCAGCGGACAAATATTTGTTTTTCTTTCTGTCTGTAAATTTGCCTTTCCAATAAAAAATAAATTAATAAACTATTTCAACTTCTAAATTGATATTGCCACCCCTGGCCTTGTCTCTAAGTCCTATTGCTATGCCCACTTTTTTCCTCAATAACTGCTTTTGAACATCCTCTGAAACTATCCTCCTTAGCACTGGCTGGACAAGCCATTGTCATTTTCTTGCTCCTTCTTGCTTTTCCCGTCTCAGGAAATGGCACTACCTACACACAGTGGTTAGGCCAGAAATCTTTCAGAAAAAAAGTTCTTATTGTTTTTCCATTATCCCTGAGGTTAATCCTTCAGTAAACCCTGTCTATCTCATCTTCAAAATATGATCACGGGCCCGGCGCGGTGGCACAGTGGTTAAGGTCCTCGCCTTGCATGTCCTGGGATCCCATATGGGTGCCGGTTTTATCCCGGCTGCCCCGCTTCCCTTCCAGCTCCCTGCCTGTGGCCCGGGAAAGCAGTTGAGGATGGCCCAAAGCTTTGGGACCCTGCACCCGCGTGGGAGACCCAGAAGAGGCTCCTGGCTTCGGATCGGCATGGCATCGGCCGTTGTGCTCACTTGGGGAGTGAATCATCGGACGGAAGATCTTCCTCTCTGTCTCTCCTCTCTGTATATCCTCCTTTCCAATAAAAAAAATAATAAAAATAAATCTTTAAAAAAAATATGATCACATTGGGCCCAGCGTGGTGGCCTAGCGGCTAAGGTCCTCACCTTGAATACACTGAGATCCCATATAGGCGCCAGTTCTAATCCCAGCGGCTCCTCTTCCCATCCAGCTCCCTGCTTGTGGCCTGGGAAAGCAGCCGAGGATGGCCCAAAGCCTTGACACCCTGCACCCGTGTGGGAGACCTGGAGGAGGTTCCTGGCTCTTGGCTTCTGATCTTCGGATGGACACAGTACTGGCCATTGCAGTCACTTGGGGAGTGAATCATCGGACAGAAGATCTTCCTCTCTCTCTCTCCTAATTTCTTTAAAAATCTGACTTTGTAATAAAAATAAACAAATCCTTAAAAAAAGTATGTTCACATCAAATTTGCTCATCACACCAGTAGACCCCCTAGCCAAGGCCTCCACACCAGGTCTTACTGGGTGTTTTACTACTCTCTCTCTCTTTCCATTCCTACCCATTCTTCATACTGCATACAGACTTTTTGCAATAATAATAATAATAATGCAAACCGACCACATTGCTCTCCTGTTAAAACATTGTAATAACTTCCTTTGTTCTTCCATTGTAAAGGCGCTGTCTGAGCTGGCCCACGCCTACCTTTTTATCCTAATTGCAAACGTGGAGCTCTAGCACAAGATCCTTGTTCAGTGCAGTAAGCGGATGAGACCCGCCTGTGTTGGAGCATCTACTTCTGCTTAGAAGTCTTCCCCAAATCCAAACTGGTGATCTCCACCTTACCCTTCAGTTCTTCTCCAAGAGCTTTCTTGTCCAGCGGATCATGTGTCACTGCTGGCTGTGCAATGAATGATTGCCGTGGAGTCAGCAACTGTACTTACAATAGATCTTTGTATCTCTGCAGCCCGGCAGAGCGAGTGACTGGCTTCTCCTTGAATACATGCTTGCAAATGAACAAAGGTGCGAGTTGAGATCTCTTGGGGGAGTCTGCTGCAATAGAAACACCTGCAGCTCCTCACGAGTCCTCGGGATGGAAATTACAAGGGGCAACACGTGGTGGGAATGCAAGGCTTGGCACTGGCAACAATCACGTGTTGCCCAAAACCTGCCAATCTCTGATTTCTTCATCTGCTTTACCGCCATCATCACGTGTTGGTTATCTCCGGCTTACTTCATACATTTTCATTACTCAAGTTGCACTTTCCAATTCTCTACCTCCAATACCCTCTGCGGGTCAGCAAACTCAGTGAGATTCTCTTTTTCTTGCTGTTGTTGTCCCAAGTTGATAACAAAAAAGATATATATGACAGCACAGCGGAACAGTTCAAACGACTGTGCGTGGCATTTCTCCCAACCCGAGGCCGAGTGACATGCATGTTGGAAAGAATGCCGGAGTCCCAAAGCGGCAGCATTTCCTTCGTGTCCGTCTTCCAAGCCGGAGCTGAGGCCTGACGGGCACAGATGCCTCTCCTTTCTCTCCTCTTCCTCCTGCAGCTTGAGGAAGATGCCACCCTGGGGCCTCTTAGCACCCGCTCCATCAGAGGTGAGACACAGCCGGCCGTCTGCAGAGGTTCTCGCTGGTGCTGCTGTGATCTTGCCCAAGCGCTTGCTGCTGTGGGAGTTGTTGCCCCGGTGAGTGTAATTCTCCATGATGACCCAGGCTGCTTTCATCCACGGTCTTGGTATGAATTAGGCCTGTGTTGGCAGATCCTGTGTAAAACACAAGACTTCATTTTTTAAACCTTTATACAAAGATAGAGGGAATTAGGGGAATAAACACTCCTGTTTCTAATTTTTAAAATGTCATTCCCTTCTCCTCTCTACTTCTTCTCTCCACACCTTGAAGCAAATCCCAGCCAGGCCCTTATTTCATCCCTAAACATTTCAGTATGTATGACAATGTTTTCAAACATTTGTTCCTTTATTTATTTTTTTTTAAAGATTTATTTTTATTATTTTTTATTGGAAAGGCGGATATACAGAGAGGAGAGACAGAGAGGAAGATCTTCCGTCCGATGATTCACTCCCCAAGTGAGCGCAACGGGTCGATACTATGCCGATCCGAAGCCAGGAGCCTCTTCCGGGTCTCCCACGCGGGTGCAGGTTCCCAAAGCTTTGGGCCGTCCTCGACTGCTTTCCCGGGCCACAGGCAGGGAGCTGGAAGGGAAGCGGGGCTGCCGGGATTAGAACCGGCACCCATATGGGATCCCGGTGCGTGCAAGGCGAGGACTTAACCACTTGCGCCACCGCGCCGGGCCCGTTCCTTTATTTATTAAGAAGGCAGAATTAGAGAGAAAGAGGGAGAGACAAAGAGATAGATCTTCCATCTGCTGGTTCATTGTGCAAATGGTTGCAGCCGCTGGGGTCTGGGCCTGGCAGAAGCCAGGAGCCTGGAGCTTCGTCTGCGTCTCCCATGTGGGTGCAGGAGCCTGGATAGGAAGTGGAATAGCCAGGACTCGAAAAAGGCCCACACATGATGTCTGTATGGCAGGGGACAGCTTAACCCTCTGGACTACCAGAGCATCCCCAAGACAGGTGTCTCTTTTCCCCCTTCTTTCATTTCCTCCTTCTTTCCTTTCTCCTCTTTCTTCCCCTTCTTTAAAGTCTTATTTATTTACAAGGCAGTTCACAGAGCACTCTTGCATCTGCTGGTTCACTCCCGGGGTCACTGCAGCAGCTGGGGTATTCTATGCTGATCTCCCACGCGGGTGGCAGCTGCTCCAATACTGGGCCGCGCTCTCTGCTGTTTTTCTAGAAACATGAACAGGGAGCTGGACAGGATGTAGTGCATGCAGAACTCAAACTGACATTCCTAGCACTGTATGTTGTGGCTCATCCCACTGCACCACAAAGCTGGCCCCCATGATTTTTAATTTCTTCAAGGGTATAGCAGTAACTAGTTCAGTACCTTGCAAGCAATAAGTAAAAGTTGACAGAAAGCAACCCAACATGCCTTTGGTTCACTAATACACTCTCAAGCGCTTGACTCCAGGCCCTTATCTTTGCTTTTGTTCCTTTCCTGTACTCATTTCTCTACAGGTGATTTCTGTTAAATCAGGCAGAGTGGCAGTGTGTGTGTGGGGGGGGGGCAGGTCACCCTCGGAGGGCGGGGCCTCTGTTGGGGGCGTTGCTGCGAAGAGCCCCGCCCAGCGCCTCCTCCCCTCCCCACCTCAACTCTTCTTCCCAGCAGCCCTTGCGTCCGGCCCGGCGCTCCTCAAGATGGCGGCCGACAGTGAGGTGAGTCTTGGCTTCTTACCTGTCGCTGTCACTGCGTTAGGTTCGCTCCCCAGCGTCGTCGCTCGGGGGTTCGGTCTCTTTATCTTTTGTCTTTTCTTCCCGCAGCCCGAGTCCGAAGTATTTGAGATCACGGACTTCACCACTGCCTCGGAATGGGAAAGGTGAGTGAGCCGCGTCTTTCTTTACCTGGGCCCCGGCGTCTGCGCCGACGCTCCCCTGGAGCAGACAGGAGCACAGGACGCCCCTAGGGCGGGCAGAGGCAGAGCCGCGGCTCCCGGGGTCTTGGCTTCGTCCCTGCTCTGCTCAGCCGCGAGCCACTTCCGCGTCGGGCGTGTCGGGAGTGAGCAACCTGCCAAGGGGACCCAGACTCTCCAAAAAGTTTGTTGCCCCCGCGCCCGGACCACTTTCCTTCGACCTTTGCTTTGCTGCTCTGCGCCCACCCGCGGAAACAGTATCCGAGGGTGTCACCGCCGCAGCTGTCGGCAGTTTAGCCCCTTTCGGAATGGGAAGCCGTCCGCTGCGCAGCTGATCCCTCGTTCTTGTTTTCTCGGCCAGAGTCTCCCTGTCTTTTCGGAATAACCTCTTCCAATGTGTGCCTATAGGGCGTGGGGACGCCTTGACTCAGTGGGTCACAGGCCCTGGCTGCCTTGTGTCTTGCACCCTCAGGGGACGAGGCGGTTCTGTCGCGGACAGAAGTTGACAGCTGATTTTGTGGAGGAGTGATGTCTTAGGTGGACGGGTGGTCACAGGCACCCTTCAGGTTCTGGGTGCCTGACGCAAGAATGGAGATGGCTGCAACATTTTATAGCCTTTGTGGTGGGAGACTAGGAATCTTGGGGCTGTCGTGTCCGTAGAAAAGATCCCCGCTGGAGTAAAGATTTGGCCTAGGGTACTCTCTAAAAAAGGAAGGCTGGGTCTTGGAGCTCTCCTGTAAAGAGAAAGAAGGAAAAAGGGATTCCTGTGTTAAAGCAAAGCCGCAGCTCTAATCTCAACTGCTGTAAAAGCAGCTTCGGGAAATAGGACGTGATGATGGTGGACTGCAGTGGGTGGAGATACTTGAGAAGAATGGATAGGAAAGGAGCTGGGCTGTTCAAGTGGGACGTGGTTGGTTAGACAGGAGAGGAAACGGCAGGAGCAAACAGAGATGAAAATGGACCTGTGGGATTTCATGGCTGCGGTGTCACTGCTGTGAAGGCTGTCTGTTAAGGGGAAGTAGACAGGGCTAGTAAGGAAAATGGGACCAGGTTACACAGCCTCCAAAGTGGGGAATCTAGGTCTGGTGCTTTTGATCATTGGGACAGTGCTTAAGATGCTGATGACAGCAGCCAGGGTTGTGGGATAGGATGTTACGGCACATTTGTGGCATTGGCATTCCATGTCCCAGTGCTGGCTCCAGTTGTTCTGCCTCCAGAACAACCAGACTAATGTGTCTGGGAAAACAGCTGGAAGAAGGCCCGTGTGCTTGAACCCTTGTCACCCATGTGGAGACCAGGATGGAGTTCTGGGTTCCTGGTGTTGGCATTGATCAGTTCAGGCTGTTCTGGCTGGTTGGGAGTGAATCAGGGAATAGGTTGGATCTCTGTCATTCTGACGTTCAATTCAATCTTAAAGCCAAACTTTTAAGCGTGTGATAAAGTAACCAAAGAATGTCGGTTAAAAAAAAAAGTATAAAAAGATGTAATAATGAAACATGGAGTAAGTGTCAAAGTCAGAAGAATGTGGTTTTGGATCTGTTGAATTTGAAATGCCTTGAAGGTAGTTAGAAAAATGTATTAAGTCTCGGAAAGTAGGGATCAGAGTGTATCTGAATAGAAAAAATGGTCAGTGTCCTCTGGTTAAATATTTACACATTTAAATTTTTTTAAAAAGTATCCTGAAATGGGATATCAATGTCTTTATCTCCTCTTGGAAATAATTAACCCAAGAGAACTGTTGCAAAATTGGAGCTTTATGTTTAGGCTTTTTATGCTGCTGCTTCTAGAGCAAAACAACCATAACACAATTCATGAGAAAAATGTTAAAAATTTGAAATCTTGGGCCCAGCGCGGTGGCACAGTGGTTAAGGTCTTCACCTTACACGCCCGGGATCCCATATGGGCGCCAGTTCTGGTCCCGGCAGCTCCACTGCCCATCCAGCTCCCTGCTTGTGGCCTGGGAAAGCAGCCGAGGACGGCCCAAAGCTTTGGGACCCTGCTCCTGTGTGGAAGACCTGGAAGAGGCTCCGGGCTTCGGATTGGCATAGCATCGGCCTTTGCGCTCACTTGGGGGGTGAATCATCGGATAGAAGGTCTTCCTCTCTCTCTCTCCTCTCCTCTGTATATCCGCCTTTCCAATAAAAATTTTAAGAAATAAATTAAAAAAAAAAACAACTTTGAAATCTTTATTTGAAGGGCAGAGTTATAGAGAATCTTCCGTCCTTTGGTTCATGCCCAATGGCTTCAGTGGGGAGTCGAGCTCATATGAAGCCAGGAGCTTCCTCTGAGTCTCACATGTGGGTTCAAGGGACCAAAAACTTGAGCCATCCTCCATTGCTTTCCCAGGCCATAAGCAGGAAGCTGAATCGGAAGTGGAACAGCTGGGAGTTGAACTTGTGCTCTATGGAATGCCAATGCCACAGGCTGAAGCTTAGCCTATTATGCATAGCACTGACCCCAAGACTTTGAAATCTTTTAAACTTCGGATTTAGTGTTTGAAAGAAAGTTTTTGTCAGTATGTTATAAACTATAAGTTGGCTTGAGAGGATTAAAGAGAAGCCCATAAATCTCTTTATTATTTGTCCCTTGAAAAATGCCCTTGTGTCAAGCACAGTACAAGACATCAGGGATGTAGGCATTTGGTGGTTATTAAAAATAGATGTAGTTCCTGCTCTTGTTGAAGATACAGTCTCATGGAAGAGGCAGATGTCAGAGAATCAGTAATAGAAATTAGTCTGAAATTGAGTTGGCATGGAGCTAGATAGGGGAAGAAATCTAGTATTAAAAGAGGAGCTTCATACAAGTGAGGAGTCAGTTAAGATCTCGAGAACTTGGCCTAGACAATAGCCTAGTGGCTAAATCCTTGCCTTATATGCCTTGGATCCCATATGGGCACCAGATCATGTCTCAACTGTTCCACTTCTCATCCAGCAACCTGCTTGTAGCCTGGGAGAGCAGTAGAGATGACCTAAAGCCATGGGACCTTGTACCCAGGTGGGAGACCTGGCAGAAGCTCCTGGCTTTAGATCAGCTCAGCTCCTGCCATTGTGGCTACTTGGAGAATGAACTAGCGGACTGAAGATCTTTATCTCCTTCTCGCTCTAAATCTTTCTGATAAATCTCATAAAAAAAATCTGGAGAACTATTAAGGCTAGAGTTAAATCTCAATACCTGTATGAGGGTCCACATTTTTTCCTTCATCTAATTCTGGTAGAATTCATACGGTATTATAAGATATTCCTTTTTGTTATTTTTATTATAACAATACTTCATAATGGAATGAAAAAATACCACCTGTAAACCTAATACCAAGCAGTAACTATTCATTTTTAAAGCCTATTTTTTCATAAAACTGATGCATTAACTTTGGATCAAACCATATCAATGCTTACCCTATAGTTTCTTCTTTTGTTTTTTTTTTAGCAAAGATTTATTTATTTATTTGAAAGGCAGAGTTACCGAGGAAGAGTGATCAGTCTTTGATCCACTTGTTCTCTCTCCAAGTGGCTTTTTAAAAAATATATATTTATTGGGCCTGGCGTGATAGCGTAGTGGCTAAAGTCCTTGCCTTGAACACACCGGGATCCCATATAGATGAGATGGTTGATTGACTTGTTCTGTCCTCTGTCTTTTCATGGTTAGGGTTCTGAGTCCGGCAGTTTGATTGGGGAGATCCCCAAAGAAACTTTGTCTGAGGTGTTCCCAGATCAGATTCTTGTGTGTACTAGCAAGTACAGGGCCCGGCACAGTCCATCGCCCCATCAGCTGGTAGTTGCAATTGCTGGGTTGGTTGTGTTTTCAGCCCTGACTTCCACTGGAACCAATAGCCTGGTTCTGCCCAGAACATACTCGGCCCTCACATAAACCATGGGACCTGCAGCCTAGTCAGGGCGACCCACAGTAACCCGCACCAGGCCCGTCCCCTATCCTGGTTTGCCAGTGTGTGTAGCAGACTAGTACAGTCTGTTCCACATCCCCTTCTGCTCTCATACATGTCAATGGGTATTAAAGCCTAGTTCCATCTAACCAGCTCAACTATCCAGCCCTCACAGATGTTGTTGGGTGCCTCTCTGTTTAGCCACCCCAGCCCCTGTCCTGGGTTTTGTGCCCTCCCATGGGAGTGGTAACCCACGAGGGAGGAGCTCACTATTTTCCTCCCAGGCCACTCCCACTCCCGGATTATACACTCTCCTGTGGTTTGACTTGAGAGAATTTGCCCCAGTGCCAGCTGCTGCCAGCTGATGCTGTGGCTAAGCCCAAACAACCCTCACCCACTCTAATTTTGTTTGCACCAGTAGGAACAATCAGCCCAGCTTGTCTTTTCCCTGATCTAGTGCACATGAGGCCCCCAGGTGTTGTAGTCCTGCCTGGTCTGGTCTGCCCCCATCCCAGCCCACAGTCTCCAGCAGGAGTAACTGTCCAGCAAGGGAACCCCCCCCCCCCCATACTTCCCCTGCCAGCTCTGCCTCCTCCCTTCCTGGTTCTCACATGTGCTGGTTGGGCGCTTCGGTCACATCCGATACAGGTCACCTCACCTTGGCATCTGTACTGTGTGCTGTTTGCTTTGTCGCGACCGAACCTGGCTCATTCCCCAAATGCTCAAACACCTGGGATTGGCCCAGGCTGTCAGTGGAAACCAGAAACTACATCCCTGTCTCCCATGTGGATAGAAGGGACTTGAACCAGCAGGCTCTGCTTCTCAGGAGCAGAAAGCTGAACTGGGACACAAACCAGGCCCTCTGCTAAAGAACGTGCGTGTCTTAATTGGGAACTTACCAAGTGCACCAAAGCCTCTGGTTCATCACCATCTTCAGCTAGAAAACAGAAACAGAGTTTAATACAACTTGGCTAGGATGAACTCCAGTACTGTGACATTACTGCCTATGTGTTTTGGGGAACGGTGTTGCTGTTAGATTACCTGATAGGTAACTTTAAGAAATAAGCTTGAGTGTTGATCTGTTTCCTGAAAGTATCTTTTAATTTCTATTTATTGCTACCTCGGAAGTTAACAGTCTTTATTTGACAATATTGAGCATGTTACTCAACAAATTGCTGAATTGCCTCGATCATTAAAGACAGGGCAGTGAATAGTTCTCAAATATAAAAGTGTATTATTCTTTAAAGCTGATAAATTTCTTGTGTCTTCTAGAACTTGTTCCATTTGAATTAACCAAGTTTCGAGATGTTGACTTTATGGGGGGACTAGAAAACGGCCACAACAGCCAGTTCTCAAATATGTTTAAAGGAAAGATTAGTTAGTTGATCAGTTAGTTTAGGATAGAGAAGCAAGTACCCTGTGATTGCATCTAGTAGCATTGTTTTATTCCTTCAATTTTTACATCTGGCCCACGTTTATTGTCTTCATTGTAATTGTCTATTATTAATCCTTGTATCTTACACAAGGCAAAATGCTTTTGTTGAGTAAGCAGACTTCAATGAAGCAGAATAAAAACAGAAAAAAATGTGCTGTTACACATTTAAAAAGCTTTTTTCCTCTTTCCAGGTTTATTTCCAAAGTTGAAGAAGTTTTGAATGACTGGAAACTGATTGGAAACTCTGTGGGAAAGCCACTCGATAAGGTCAGATCTGTTTGCTGGTGTTTCAGTATTACTTTGAAACCTCTGTTTTTAGGATATTTGCTGCACTTGACACTTTTTTTTAATTTAAAACCTTTTTTCAAGTTATGTATAATGTATAAACATATCTGGAAGAACCTGTGGCAGGTGATTTTTGTCAGCCATTTGTGAAGTTCTTAAAATAATAAAATTTTATTTATAAGATTATTGTTTGTGAGTGATTTTGTTTCTCCTGATGTTTATTTAAACTCTTTTGCCTTCTCTGTTAATGGTAAGTTTTTTCATCTGTAAAAGAAGAACTGAAATTACTAGTTTCTTGAATAGAGTATTTTGCTTAACCAGAGAGGAAAAATCTTGATCTTACAGCTCAGATGTTGTGGTTAACAGGTATTACACTTATTTTACTCATATTTTGTATTTTATGACACCACTAGCACCATGCCCCACACCTCCCTCACTACTGCACCGCCCCAAGCTTATGGATGTTTTGAAGATTGTGTTTATTTATTTATTTATTTATTTTTTATTGGAAAGGCGGATATACAGAGAGGAGAGACAGAGAGGAAGATCTTCCATCCAATGATTCACTCCCCGAGTGAGCGCAAAGGCCGATACTATGCCGATCTGAAGCCAGGAGCCTCTTCCGGGTCTCCCACGCGGTTGCAGGGTCCCAAAGCTTTGGGCCGTCCTCGACTGCTTTCCCAGGCCACAGGCAGGGAGCTGGAAGGGAAGCGGGGCTGCTGGGATTAGAACCGGCGCCCATATGGGATCCCGGGCGTGCAAGGCGAGGACCTTAACCACTTGCGCCACCGTGCTGGGCCCGGAAGATTGTGTTTTAAAATGAAAAAAGTAGTCTTAGGTTTGAGGTAGAACTTGTCATTCTAGTTCAAGGTATTGATTTTTGACATATAGACCACGTTCCAAATTTGTCCTAAAGATTGCACTCAGAGAACAAACATAAGAACTGGTTTGACTGAAAGAATCTACAGTTTGATTTTTTTTTTTAAGCTCATATGGGAGCTTAGTTTGTTAGATAAGCTTTTTGGAAGTAAATTTATTTACGAAGTAATAATTAACTGTAATTTATCCTTCTGTAGGAATTCTGAATTACTAATATTTGCTAGGGTTTTAATTTTTTTTGTATTTAAAAAAAAGTGGTTGTCCAAGAAGTGTTAAGATTTTTCCTTTAAAAGAGTATGAGGAGGAAATATGATGCTACATATAGAAATCACATATTATTGAAGATTTGTTGAAATACACAAATAAGTCTATTGAAAATTGTTTTGTTTCTAGTTTTGAATAAAGGTGACAAGTTTCAGATTTTTCTGTTCCACTTGAGATATACACACGTGTAACAGTTGATACATATGCCAGTTAAAGGCAGAGTAAATTGGGTATAACTGGAATGGGAAGAAAATTGCACTGCTAAACAGAGCTAATAAGCCAGTTGCTTGTGAGCTCTAATATTTTTTTTTTTTTAAGATTTATTTATTTTTATTGCAAAGTCAGATATATAGAGAGGAGGAGAGACAGAGAGGACGATCTTCTGTCCGATGATTCACTCCCCAAGCGGCTTCAATAGCCAGAGCTAAGCCGATCCAAAGCTAGGAGCCAGGAGCCTCCTCTGGGTCTCCCACGTGGGTGCAGGGTCCCAAGGCTTTGGGCCGTCCTCAACTGCTTTCCCAGCCCACAAGCAGGGAGCAGGATGGGAAGTGGAGCTGCCGGGGCCAGAACTGGCGCCCATATGGGATCCTGGCATATTCAAGGCGAGGACTTTTGTCACTAGGCCACTGTGCTGGGCCCTAGCTCTGATGTTCTTTATTTTACTGATAAATATATATACTGAGTTATTGGTATCTGCTGGATGTGAGGGAGAGAAGCAACAGAGTGAACACATCAGATAAATATTTAAAATGGTAAATTCAACTTTGGGGATTAAGTGGGTATTATGTAGATAGCATACTTCTAGGCATGTAGTAAAGGCTAAAGAAATATTGATTCCAGTTTATTTCTCCTCATTAGATAGCAGTTCTTAGCAATCATGAAAAACATGAGTAAGTTTCAATATAAACTGAGAAGAGTAACAGTTTTAAAAATGAAAGGAGAGTCCGGTATGGTGGCCTAGCGGCTAAAGTCCTCACCTTGAGCATGCAGGGATCCCATATGTGCACCAGTTCTAATCCCGGCAGCTCCACTTCCCATCCTGCTTCCTGCTTGTGGCCTGGGAAAGCAGTAGAGGATGGCCCAAAGCCTTGGGTTCCTGCACCCATGTGGGAGATCCAGAGGAAGTTCCTGGCTCCTGGCTTTGGATCTTCAGATTGACGCAGCATCGGCTGTTGCAGTCACTTAGGGAGTGAATTATTTCATCCTCTCTGTATATCTGACTTTGCAATTAAAAAACAAATCTTTAAAAAGTGAAAGGAAAGGGATTACTTGCTATACAAAAAGTTTATAGAGAATGTCTTAATACACTGTTTTACCTTACGTGTGGGACAATAGTTACCAATTCTCATACTCTGCTGAGGGGCAGTTTTAAAGAAATTATTTCTTTGAAATCCTTAATCTGGAAAATTTCCAAGTAAAAATAGTGTTTGAGTCCTTTGGTACCCATCATCCAGTTTCAACAGTTAATATTTTGCAATTTCTTGTTCATTAGTACGTCTGCTTTTTTTGCTACCTTCTAATAGACTTGTTTTGTAGTTCTTCAAACTTTACATGCAATGCAATATGCAAAACTTAGCTGCTCAATTTTGACAAACGCTCACACCACTGTAACTTGTGCTCCCATCAAGATGCAGACCATTTCTTTGACCCACGGATATCCTAGTGACCCATCCCAGTTAGTTCTCATGCCCCCAGGCATCTGATGTGCGTTCTCTGTGGATTATGTCGTACAGCGTGTTTACATATATAGGATGGCTGTCACCTTGCTAGGGAGTACTGTCTAGGGAACCATGATTGTATGCATTATCTGTGGTCCATGACTGTGTAAGGCATACATTATATATTGTGCCTGGTTTCTTTTACATAATGGTGTTTTAAGATAAATCTACGTTGTCTCATGTAGTCAGGTTTTCTTTTTCTTTGCATCGTTACATGGTAGTCTGTTTTTCTGGATATTCCATATGTTTTATTTGTGGACATACTGTTATGAATAAAGCAGAACATTCTCATAGTGTGAGGACTGTTTCTGTTTGGTAAATATATGGGAGTCGATGTTGTTGTAAGTTGGTGTGTCATTTTATGAGACTGTTGAAGGTTTTGGTACTATGATTCCTGCTTGAAGAGTACATGATAGTTTCAGTTGCTTTACGTTCTGATCAACTGTTGTTTGTTTTCAGTGTTGTCCATTGTAGTCATCTTAATGGGCTTGTGTTTTGTGGCTTTAATTTGTATTTTTCATTACATTTTGAGTTTTTACTTCTGTAATATTCATGCTACTTTAAACATGTTTTTATTGTATTTTTCTTTGTGGAATACCTATTCAAATTCTTTTTTTGTTGAAATAGAGTTTTTTTTAACTTTAAGTCTCTTAGGTACTAGTTTTAGTTTTTGCAAAAGTACAGTTTTCTTTTTTTTTTAGATTTATTTTTTTTATTATTTTTTCATTGGAAAGGCGGATATACAGAGAGGAGAGACAGAGAGGAAGATCTTCCGTCCGATGATTCACTCCCCAAGTGAGCGCAACGGGCCGATGCTATGCCGATCCGAAGCCAGGAGCCTCTTCCGGGTCTCCCACGCGGGTGCAGGGTCCCAAAGCTTTGGGCCGTCCTCGACTGCTTTCCCAGGCCACAGGCAGGGAGCTGGAAGGGAAGCGGGGCTGCTGGGATTAGAACCGGCGCCCATATGGGATCCCGGGCGGCAAGGCGAGGACCTTTAACCACTTGCGCCACCGCGCCGGGCCCGAAAGTACAGTTTTCTTCTGGAAACATTATCATTAATTTGTAATTTAACCTCTAAGTCTGTGATTCAATTTGCATATGGTGTGAGGTATGCGATCAAGTTTGTTTCTTTTCACATGGGTTGCCTGTTCTAAAACTTTCCTTTCAACATATGTTTTTTTCTTTGTTGAATTGTTTTGTCAGCAATTGGTCTAAATGCTTGGTCTAAAAAGTCTTTTTCTAGATTATAGATTAATATGTATGACTAATGTCAGTGCCACACTCTCTTGTTCATTTACCTAATTTGATACTGTTGACAGTTTAGGCCAGATTATTGTGGGACTTGTGCACTGCAGTAGCAGCATCTGTGTCCTGTGCCTGGTAGGGTTCTACCTGGTAGTGCTTTCCTAGGTGTGACAGACTATTTTGTCTGTTTTAGGCATTTTGTATTTAGATATTTTTTTTTTTAAGATTTATTTATTTTTCGTACAAATCAGATATACAGAGGAGGAGAGGCAGAGAGGAAGATCTTCCATCCGATGATTCACTCCCCAAGTGAGCACAACAGCTGGTGCTATGCCAATCCAAAGCCGGCAACCAGGAACTTTTTCCAGGTCTCCCACACACACAGAGTCCCAAGGCTTTGGGCCATCCTTGACTGCTTTCCCAGGCCACAAGCAGGGAGCTGGATGGGAAGTGGAGCAGCCAGGATTAGAAGTGATACCTATATGGGATCCCGGCGAGTTCAAGGCAAGGACATCAGCTGCTAGGCCACCATGCCAGACCCTAGATATTGTTTTTAATAATAAGCATCTTAATTTCCATAAAGAGTTACAATTTTGCTGAGATTGTAATTGAGTTTTTTTTTTTTTAATTTAAAAATGACTTTAGGAAGAAGTGACATTCTAAGTCTTAAAATTTCAAGTTACAGACATGGCATATCTGTGTAAGGTCATTTAATTTCTCTGAATTATATATTTGTACTTTGAATCCTGAGACAGCTAAATTTATTCATTAATCCATATTGTTTTGCTAATTCTTTTCCATTTTCTACACTAAGAAGTATGCTGTACAGGAACAGGGGCAGGTCCGCTTTTAAAATTTTTCATTTTTTTTTTAAGA